TGTAAATCCAGCATGATTGTGTCATCTGAAAGTCATTCAATGTAGTTTTCTTTGTATCATCTCAGCTAAATAATTTAATTTGCAGTTTTTAAATAAAATGCTACCATTAAAATATATGGGTTATTCACTAGGAGCATGTCTTGGAAGTCAATGGCTGTGTCCGAAGGTCTGGCCCAATCCCTACATATAGCAGTATGTAGTGGGTAAGCTATTTTAGATAAGTGTCTGAAGTGGATGAAAGAGTAGTGGACTGAAAATTTCCCACAATGCACCTTGAAAAGTAATGATCCTTCATGGACACGAGACGAGCAGGTGTATCCCAATTTACTTTGCGAAACTTCTCCTCGCAAAGCATCATGGGATTTGTTGTAGCAGCAAGAGAGAACAAATATGGTGGAGTTATGTGACAGACAGGGAGAAAAAAGTAGTGATGATCTGTGAATGGTCAGTTAACTGAGTTCACTATAAAGTCCACTATATATTCCCGCTCTATATAGTTATTGAAGATTTTAGTTTTTGGACACAGCCACTGACTCGATGCAATCAACTAGTTTTCCTTGACAGAAACATTTGACCCCCTGACTATAATGTCTCTGTAAAAATGCCTCGAGATTAATTTCTGCTATATGAATAAGCTGAATTGCATTATAATTTTAATGGGTTTTAAAGAATATACTATCATACCTATAAACAGTAAAATCAGAGAACTAAAGATAAAATGAGAGACAAATTACATCTTACCTCAAAAAAAGCAAAGTATAAAGAAACAAAAATGATGTTTTTCTGCAAAATTAGGCTGAAATAATCTTGAATGACTTGATGTTGTTGAGGAAACTCTTAAACCTTAAGATTTTGGCTTCCAACCCATGTATTGTTTGTTTTAGAAGAGATAAAAGCAGAACCCCTGAGAATAAAACCCCAACATAAAGCACCAGGGAACAACAGAGATGACTTAAGGGTGTTTTGGCGCACATGCAAAGTAGTCACGTTGAGCCAACATCAGTTTATCTTCAGTCTGCTGCAATATGTCTGCAGACATACCTATATAAAAACCTTTTATACTCTATATTATATTGAACCGCAGTGAATGTTTAGGCTGTGCAGAACCTACTTAGAGGTATAAGAGGAACATGGCATCTCAGTAATGTTTTGGTCACTGCAGTCAGAACTTGTTTAGGATCAGCTTGAAGCATAGCTTTGGTAATGTGTGGTGAAAGGGTTGCCGTAAAACTAGCTATAATAAATTGGTCAGCAGGAGACTGATCAAAGGCAACTATGGTCACTTTCCGTAACCCAAGAAGCATGGTATGTATCATTAAAATGTTTTCATATCTGTCTTTAGATTAAAAACTATTGCTTTGCATGTCCTGATGCTATTACATGTGAAAGCAAATTGAATTTGAAGGACATAAATGTTATTTTGCTCCTAATTACATCAGCAAATGGCTATTGGCTTTGTAAAGTAATCGCAGTGATAATCTTAACCAAATGCAGACAGTCTGTCTCTCTTTGTAGGCCTGGTTTCTCCCTCATATTATGTAGCTACAATGGCCATGTGTGAGTGTTTGTTGATGCGTCTGTAAGTTCCTCACTTGAAGAGCAGCACTCTGGATTTTCCTCTATGGAATAAAATGCATCCTTCAGATAAAATAACGCCCACTTACAAACGGATCAGATTCAACTGCAGATTAGTCTGTTTTTCTGAGAAAGAGAGATCTTTCAGCCCATTTAAAGAGATGAATCTTTTCTTTCTGTAAAACTTTAAAATGATTTGTTTTCAATAAATTACCATAAAATATATTAATACAGTGTTGAAACACAGCAAACATTGCAAATACAAATTGTAGTTGAGAATAAAGAAAGAAAATTGATTGATTGATTAAACTTGTTGATCTTCGGTTAAGTTACCTATTATACGTGCTAGACTAATAGAAAGTGATACATAATTCACAATAACTATCAGAATAGTTCTTCTTTTTATCTTAATTGTGCCACACATGTTTGTTCACCCCCCCCTTTTTTTTTAATACAACTAAATGAAATCAAGTGCAACCAATTGGCGCCAGCAGTCACACAATTAGAAAATAAGGGGTCCAGCTGAGTGTAAAGTTATTACTGCATAAATCCATCTGTGTTGTAAAGGTCTTAGGCTTTATTAGAAAACAAGCAGCACTACAACCCCTGGCAAAAAGTATGGAATCACCAGTCTTGGATGAGCACTCATTCAGACATTTCATGCTGTAAAACAAACTCAGATCAAAAACATGATACAATATTAAGGTCGTTCCAAAGTGCAACTCGTTGGCTTTCAGGAACACTCAAAGAANGTTGCAATGCTTATGAAACAACAGCAAATGTTGCAAGAACAACTTGTAATCATGCCCTTCACAAAGTTTGCTTTTTGGAATAGTGGCAGAAGGAAAGCTACTGATGAGTGAAAGTTCTTCACAAGCTATGAAGGGGACACAACAGACATGTGGTAAAAGGTGCCATGATCAGATCTGACCAAAACAAACAAACTAAAACATGATAGAAAATTAACTGCACATGATCTGAAACACAAAACTCAGTCCGACCAAGGTTTAGCCCTAAATTTAACTGAGAATCTGTGACAAAACTTGAGCACTGGTACAGCAAAAAAACAAAAAAACAAAACGGTATTATTTTAGCACTCTATTTGGTCCCACTCCAAATGAGTGTAAAATTAACTATATAGCTAGTGCTAGGGATTTTCAGAGTTAATTTTACATATTAGTGTCAAAATCAAGATCTCTCAGACTGGTGGGTAACTAACACCATACAGAGTAAAAGTTACATGGATGGATGTCAAATTGTAAACTGATTATTAACGCCAACTCTTGAGCAGAATTACACTCAGTATAGTTGTAAATACTTCATTTAGACTCAAATATGTTAACTCAGAATTTTAACACCCAATTTTGTATCTTTGCAGTCCATCAGCTTAAATGATGTGGTAAAGATCACAAAAAGATTTTCAGACTTGCAGAGTCTAGATGTATGAAGCTGGCAAAGATATACCTTCAACATACTGAAGTTATGACTGCATTAAAAAAATACTTAGGGGCCCTAAAAAATAATAAAATTAGTTTTAATTTACAGAAAAAAAAGCAAGGTTATATTGATTTTATTTTTCTTTATAATTTACGCACCTTGTCCTGTTCCATAAAATCTCTATAGGATGCGTTGTGGCTGGAACATCAAATGCTGTGGAAAAGTTAAAGGGATGGGAATAACTTTCCAGAATTATTTATGTCCACGAGACACATGGATTGGATTTTTCTATTGTTGATCAGTGGCAGAGTCAACACTATCTTTGATGAATCTTGTTATTTGATCAATTTTTTTCTTTATTAAAACAATTACAATACCCAGACTGCAAAGAATAATCTAGAAATAACTAAAAACATACTTAAGGAAGTATATTTGCCCTTAATTTGAGTAGGTAAATAAGATGTTTTTTCCATTGGAATGAACATTTTTACCATCAAAATAAGGTATTATGCAATTGAGATAAGACAATGCAATTGTTTTTTTTTTTCTTATTTTAAATCTAAGTTGTCTTGTTCAGTTGGCAAAGTGGCTCACTTACCTCATCAATTCAAGAAAAAATGCACTTATTTTTTTAAAATGACTAATTTAGATTTCAATTTCTTGCAGTGCAAAAACCCATCACAGCACACTTTTTGAACAGCTAATATCCTTTGACATTAACTGTGACCATGATGCTCAAAGAAATTTACCCTCAGAATGATGGGAGAGGATGAGAAGGTTCACACAGGCAGCACCAGCTCCAGAGCCAAAGATCGTGATTCTCTCTGGGTCTCCTCCAAAGTGGCCAATGTTTTCATTGAGCCAGCGCAGAGCCTGGATCTGATCCAACAAACCATAGTTCCCCTTAGCAGATTGGTCCCCTGTGCTCAGAAACCCTGCATGGTAAACAAGAGCAAACACAGAGGGACAACACAGGTTATATGAATGGAGAAGCTTGTCAGAAATCCAGGGACACAAGATACAAAAATCAATTTTTTTATTAATTCAATACACTCCAAAGATAACATCTTTCATTCTTATGGACCACACAATGTTGAAGACCCTGTCTATCTGATTCTATTTTCAAGACCTCACTGAAAAAGCTCACAAAATTGTCAACTTTAAAAGCTCACACTCAAAATATAACAGAGTTTACAGAGATATACTAGCAGCGATGCACTGAGAGGAACAGAAGGCATGGTTCACCTACTTCCGGGACACACATTTACACAGCAGGTGCACACCCACAACAAGAAAAAAATAAACCAAATATAATGCAAGCCGTACCCACAAACGGAACACTTTGTTCTTTTCAGAGCACATTGTACTAGTTTACATGAGTTCTACAATATTTTGCCCAGTTACAAAATGAAATATATTCATATTTGATCACTATAACATGTAAAGTCTCCCCGAAGCAAAGGCTATAATGATGAGAAAATACCATGTTTGATTTGGCAAGTTCTTTTCTTGGCAGTGTTGTATTAATTGTGCCACTTTATATGAGGTTCTTCATTTTCTAAGCATTGATCAGGACTGATACCAGGGGTCGGTACACTGACAAAAGATTTTAACTCATATTTGCATCTAATGGATTATTACAAAAAAGCATGAAGAGTTATCATCTTCATTGTGTTTGGCAAGAGTCATCTGGTAATAATTTGGGAGTAATATATATTTCTGTCAATTCAGTCTGTGCCCTAGGGTGCAATGCTAATGATGCTTCAACAGTTTTTGCCCTGCTAACAGCTTACTGTGGTAGCTCTCATTACTCATAGCTTCCACAACATTGTTAACAAATTATGAATCATGATCTAGCACATTTTCATCTTTTTCTGTTGTTTTCATCCACTAGTTACTGGAACTAACTTCTTGTTAAAACATCGAGGCGTAACTACAGTGCTGTGAATACGGATTTATTCTTTTTTTGACTCGGCCAAATCTTTCAGATCATCAAGTTAATTTAATAAATATTATTTATAATCATTCCTCTATCATGACATAACTTCAATTTGCTGTGAAAAAATATTTCTTAAATAAAATCTGCCTGAAAATACGAAGTAGGTCGGTTAAAAGATTTAAAAGAGATCAATCATCTAAAGAAATGCAAAACCTGATGTTGAGTCACTAACATCATCAGCCTAGAAATAGTACAAAAAACTTCTTGAGGATCCCCAGGAGGTTTGGGGAGATGTTATGTGGACTGAAATGTCAGTGACAATTTTTTGGAATGGTTGCATTCTGTTATATCTGACATAAAACTATAAGACAACCTTTATGCTGCGTCCGAGCGTCAGAGAATTAGGGCATTCAACACTCGAGTTCAGAAAATTGAACTTTTGCCACTGGAAGCTGCAGAGTCAGCCAATCAGAAAAGCTGTTTGAAGAGTTTTTTAGGGTACACAGACACCACCTACAAGCTCTTATCCCCTCTGCAGAGCTGTCTGAATATGAAAAATAAATAAATTTCCAGAGAATTAAACTCCAAAGGTTAAAAAAGAGAAGAACTGATTGTTATGTAGGCTACAATGAAAAGAGAGCAAGCTCTGATCATTATTACTGTGCTAAAACATTTTTTTTTTAACTATGGCGAAACGGTTTATAAATATCCAAATTAACTAAAATTGTTGAAACGGAAATTATTCAATTGTATATTCTGTTACTTGCAGTTTTTATCACAAAACTTACAAAATCTTTATATTTACTTCCAGCCGCTACAAACGACGGCAGGAAATCCCCAACAAGCTGCGCGTAGTAGAGAGCTTTTCGGCTGGGACTGCCCATGTCGTGATGGCCTGTGGTATGCTGGATGTCTGTCTCCGCACAAGAACTGCATATTTTAGTGGGATGATAATCCTGATGAAGTGACTGCACAGATGATTTTTTTAGGTGGACTTTCTTAGAAACAATTTTTCCAAGTAAGTAAGTTAAGCGAAGCCGCTTTCTAGCTTGAAGTTACGGAACAGAGCAGATAATTAACCAGAGCTTCAAGCGTCAAAGCAACTTTTCCACAGTTTGATCCAGCATCTGACTCAGTCAACGGTCTGTTTAAGCGTTTTTGATGCTTAAAACGCTTCTGGTGTGAAAGCAGCATAACATAAAACTCTGAATCATTTAACATACTGGGATCAATATTTCTCAAATGCAGCAGAGAAACAAGATAAACACAAACATGTCAGGAAATCGAAGCCTGTTGTTATCCAAACTGGGCATTTGTTAAGTTGGTAAAAAAAAAGAAGAAAAACTATGAGAAAGAAACAACATTGCATTTAACACAAACAGATAAAAAAACATTGTAATTCCATATTGTCATGAGTTACTGATAAACTTTGAGGATTTTTCTTTAGGTTTAACATAGCAATACCTTCCAAATGTAACAACACCCTCAGACAAAAACTGGTACATCCCAAAGACAGAATACCCAAATCAAAGTCGAGTGCCATTGTTTAGGCGGTCTAGTACATTGGAGAAACCAAACAACAATTACACAAACATATGATACAGCACAGGACAGGCAACACTTCTGGAAAAGATTCAGCTAGAAAAATTGCAACTTATAAACAAAGGACACACCTTTGACGACAAAAATGCTGATTTTAGGCCTGTTCTTTATAGTTGCCACAATCAGGATGACTTGAGAATTTGAACACACAAATCTAACATACTTTCAACAAAAAAACAAAACAAAAGAACAACAACAAAACCCAGCCAAATATAATGAAGGAAATGTGATTATTCTTGCCTGTTTGTACTGTCAGGACCCTGACTTAGCTTTTGTAATTAATGGAACCTTGTGGTCAAATTCACCAAGCCCTCCTTCAGCAATACTGGAGCAGAATTTCCAAACATTAGAGTTAAAATGCTAAGCCTAAGAAGAAATAGCTTATGCAGCACAGTAATGATCTGAGGCACTCCAACAAGCTCACCTCTTAATGGCTTGCAAATATTTTTGATTGGTCTAATCAAAGCCCAGCATTAGATCTGACTGAGATCCTGTGGCATAACCTTACATGGGCTGATCATGTATGAAATCCCACAAATGAGGATTAATTAAAAATGTTTTGCAAAAAAGAGTGGGAAAACTTCCTCCATAGGAACATAAAGGCCATTTCTCAATATTTGTACGAGTGCTTTTTCCTAGAACAGTTCCAATTTACAAGAACAAAAGACTGAGAGCGGACAAAATCCCTGGATGACGTTCTTACCCTGTCCTCTTTACTGAGAATGCATCAGAGCAGACTTGTCCGTTCTCTAGATTGACAGCTGTCCCAGCATGCACTGCCGCAGCAGCAGCTTCCAGTGAAGCCCTCACAGAGCTCAAGGTATCAAGTTAAAAAATCTCTTTACCATTGCTATTGTTCTATAAAAGTACATTTTAAGATAATTTGATGCGAAATCATTATACTTTTAAGCATCAACGTATGGCCCATTTACTGATTTAGTGCGTAATTCAAAAAAAAAGTTCTGATATTGAGAGGACCATGGCAACAGGCAGAGCTCTGAGTCTAACCGCTGCAAGGGCTAATCATAGCCCGTCTGCAGCAGCCCTCTCTCGACATAGCCATGTGTGAGGTACCGTTGGCTCTGATGGCGATTATTGTATTTTATTTGGCAAAATGTTCATTTGATTTGAGTTTATTTGACTGTGTTAATTATTATTCACCCACTAAATGAAAAAAGTAAGAATTTATTATTATCTAGAGACTACTAATAACAGGAGGTGAAATACAGCTCCAGATGAGCAGAGCGTGGGGTTACATCCCGAGTACGCTTCAATTCCAACTGACCCATATTTATTCTGCGTGCTCCCCTTCACCCCAAGTCCATACTTTCCTGTGTTCTTGTCAAGAACATACTTGGCGAAAACACGAGTCCATACTCGCGTTCTTGTGGATTGAGAATTGGCCAAAGACCTTTCTGTAGCAAACACCTGATGAAAGTTGATGCTATTAGCGGTCTCAACCAGTTATCACATTTGGGGGCACTTACTTTCCACACAGGAACAAGTTCTTGTAGAATACCATCTCACTACATTAACACAATTATCATTTGAAAATAGCATTTTTGATGAAAAAGAACATTTGTAAGATGGTATATACCTTTTTCCAGCAATGAATGGCCATACACTTCCGTTGGTTTATGGTGCTGGAATTTTCCTATGCTTCCTTTCTCATGTTCATTTCTGCTCTAAGAGACTACATTGTTGTTTTTAAAGAACCATAGAAACATTGATGAATAAAGTGAAACAGATTAATTCTAGACTGACGTGAGAGCATTCAAAACAGAGCTTCCAATTCAGTTTTTTTCTGTTTTTGTAAACACAAAATAAAAGGAATATATTATTAAAATTTTATAATTACCTCTGCCAAGGAGTATTATTTTAATGGAGTTTGTGGGTTTATTTTTCTGTCTGTTTATATACATGATAACTTTAAAAGTAAACCAGAGACTGGCAGCAGTGACTATTAACAGCTTCAGCATCAGACTCAAAAAGTCCAGGGGTATTTAACTGCAGACAAAAACACAAGAAAAGGGAAAGTTGTTGGTTGTTCGTAGGATCAATTGAAAAATGTATTAACCAATTTTAAGGACTTTCTTTTTTTTATTAGAGGTATGCCACATGCCAAGGAATATCCATCCATCCATCCATCCATCCATCCATCCATCCATCCATCCATCCATCCATCCATCCATCCATCCATCCATCCATCCATCCATCATGCTTTATCTCAGCTGGGGTATGCAGAGGAACAATTCTTTAAGGTTTGCTATAGTATAGGTCTTAGTGAAAATATGAGGCAAAATTTGCTGGATAAATGTACACAGAGACAGTAATGCATGGAGTGGTCAAGTATGCATTTATTCTTAGTGTATATATAATAGGAGTATTGTTGAT